TACGTTTGGTAAACAATTATTATAACCGTTCTTGCTCTAATTACTATTGCTAATTCTCTGCTCAGCGCTTTGAGAAAAAAGATTATTGTTTGAATAATTGTTATCTTTTAAAATTTTGGCCTACTTTCTCAGTAGGTTTTTTAATTGCCATACTATGTTCTTCTGGGATTCTTAAAAATGTCATCAACTCATATATACTTTTCCACACTATTAGCTTTTATCTTTTCTATTGTCTTATTCTTTAAAAGTCCAATTTTTTCATATACCTACCTTTTCAGGCAAACCCTTTAATATTTTTTCGCAAATCTCTACATCTGTCATATTCCTATCAAATTTATAGCACAACTGAATCATATTCATTATACACTGTTTAAGTGTTTCCCTCACCCTCAATTTTCTTGGGTATATTTGAGCTCGCAAAAGATCTTTATTTCCAATTAAGGTAATATGGTATCTCCCCATCCATTCATTATTGCTATTATTCCAAACTTTTCAATAAAATTGTCTTTGTCCTTCGAAGATTTACCCCCAAAATAATTTGGCTTAAAAATCATTCCTTTCAAATCCATGTTGTTGTTCTTCCAATTGATATGTTGTATTATTACACAGTAAATTACAACAATCTTAGTTACATATTAAATTTAGTAGAACGAAAAACTTACGAATTGTATGGTTATCCGGAGTTCCTTAGTAGCGGGCTGCTGTACTTGTCCCGGGACTAGCTAACTCAACATTGTGTGTGTCTTATGTATGCTAACGATTGTATGTGTATATAATATATTTTAACACTTTGCCACCAGAAAAGTTATCGAAGTTGAAAATCAAAGCACTACTTTAAAAGCTCGATATAGCCATGGGCGCCCATTGGGGGGGGGGCAAGACAGGGCACTTGCCCCGAAATTTTTTATTTTCACACCCCCCCCCCCCCTAAAATGTTAGCTATGGGCGCTTATGGATATAGCTCGCATATTTTATAATATCTATATTTCATTAAGAGACCCAGTAAAATATTGAGGGAAGAATTATGCTCTTCAGCTTATATAATTCCAATAGTAAGTACTCAAGCTTCGTGGGTCACTAAAACATGATTATAGTACCAAAATAAGCACAAAAAACTGTACTATTAATTTATTTTCAAACCAATTTCATTTGCATTATGAACAATTTGTAAAATATGTCATTATTTTTAGGAAGTCATAGAACTTTGGTAAATTTAGATATTAAAAAAATACTCTAAAGAAATATTGAAATTTGAAAGCATATTTTGGTTAATTTTAGGATGTGAGATTTTTAGTTGGTGTAAGACACGGCGAGCAGAATAATAATAATGTACGAAACTACGAAATATAAAATTCAATATGGGTATTATGAAAACAATTCTGTCACCAACATAATAATTATTGTTTTCGTACCGATTATTTATAAACGGCAAGCGGGCCGGTCGCGATAAGAACTATGGTGCGGTATGGCTACAGTCGAGCGCGGGGTAGTGGTATGAACACTATTTTTGAACGCTGCCGCTATAGTCAGTTCAGCAGCACACAACGGCTGTTAAATCGTGTTTTTCTTACCGAAAACATGGTTTCGTACTTCAAGTTTTCCTCAGCCCTCATTGGTCGTAGAAACATGATTTTTTCACCAAAATAAACGTGAGAAGTTCCTTTAGATTTTGTCGTGCCAGATTTTTGATATCTATTTTTGTCTATTTTATATAATTTTTTAAAANAGAAGTTCCTTTAGATTTTGTCGTGCCAGATTTTTGATATCTATTTTTGTCTATTTTATATAATTTTTTAAAAATTGTGAAAATTTTGAAATTTTCAAATGCAAATATAATCGGTTTGAAAAAAAAATTCGAAAATCTGGCACGACAAAATCTAGAGGAACTTCTCACGTTTATTTTGGTGAAAAAATCATGTTTCTACGACTATCGAGAGCTGAGGAAAACTTGAAGTACGAAACCATGTTTTTACCGCCGAATTTCGGTACCATAACGCCCTCTTAATATTTATTGCAGTATGCATGTATTTCAAAATCATAAGTTAGGTAATATTCTCATGTGGGTGCATCCATTTTTTTTGTTTTGTCATTTATAAATACCTAACCTGGGCTTTGGTTTTTTTTCGATTAAATTTTTAGAAAATTGACAAACATTTTATTATACATGAATTTAAATAAACTAAAAAAGAAAGACAATTTTAAATGTCTATAAATAGGGCAATTATAAAGCTTAAAAAAGTGTAAAATTATATTATATTTTGTAGGCGTTATAATATGTTAAAACTTATAAGTTATAAATAGTATGCATTTATGCGAATCAATGAGAAAAATCCCCTTGCGTCGAATATATTTATACATTTATACAATTATACCTTCTTATCTGTTATTGTTCCACAAAATTGTAGATTCTATAATATACCTACCGTCGACTGTCGTAGGTATTTCAATTTTCAGCTTCAGTCGGTTCTCCGTATCCTTCGATTTCGTTTCATATTCGTTCTTTATTCGATTGTGTATTATTTGTTTGTCTGTTTCGATATTAAACGTAAAATGCCGAAAGATAAAACATCGAAGATCGAACTATACGAGACTAAGACATTTTGTGTCCGAGTTTGGCGATGAGGTTTTTACTGTTGACGCAAGTATACTGTTTTTCAAATTGTGTGAATGTAAGGTTAATAGTGACAAAAAGTTTAACCCTATTCAACACTTAAAAACGGAGAAAAATTTAAGCCATTAATCGAGAGCAAAATAAAATTGAAAAGAAACAGCAGTTATTTACAAATATTCCACCAAAATGTAGTTTTAATATCGATCTATGCAAGACTCTTATTTCTGCAAATATACCATTAAACAAGTTATCCAATGCAAAGTTTCGACAACTTTAGAAATATATACTAAAAATCATATTCCAGAATCCAGACAAATCAGCAGTGAGAAAATTGTACGTTGATAATATTTACAATGAAATTATCGAAAAAATTAGGACTCAAATAGCTAATAACCGCATCTGGGACCTGGGTGAGTATCGATGAAACAACAGACTGATTTATTTTTATTTGTTGCTATTTTTTATGTTTTTTGGGCATATTTATAGAGCATATTTTACGGATTTTTTGCTCATATTATAACGCATATTTTATGATTTTTGGTGGTATAAAATCCGAACCCTGGTTATAACCTTAGGGCTTAGCTTATAGACCTACAGGTATTATAGTCACAACTCGCAGATTATAGTGTATCCGAATGTATCAAGAAAGTCAGAATAATTCATTGAAAAAAAAGTTAACAGACTAAAATACTTAATAATACTAAGTTAGTAGTGTATTGTATAATACCTAATTGTTTGATAAATATTTCTTTTGTTGTTGGTCTTGTGCTGAAAGATGTATCTTTAACGTGTTGACTTCTCATAATGTACAATTCTGCAGAATCATACAAAGACTAGCACTAGCAGAATTTCTAACAATTTTACTATTTCTAAGCAAATGTTCACAATTTCCTTCAATTTTAAAATATAAAAAAAACCTAAGAGATGACTTAAATAGTTGGTACTATGCCCACAAGTCACAATTAAATTTGATCATCGGTTAATTCACTCCACTTTATTTTCTTTAATCGTGATTCACTATTTCATTCTAATATTAAAAATAAGAGTACCTAAAATGGATGTGCAATTTGTTATGTTGTGGGTTTATAAGGCACATGTGGTTAGTGGCTACCATGGGCCATGGCTAAATAACAATGGTTATTTAAATCGTGGCCATGATCTATACTAGAGATTCTGTACCATAGATTAAGAATATTTATACTGTATAGCCGTGATCGTGATCTCTTAATATGTAGCACAATTATAAAGAACTTTCTTTATAATTGTGGTACGCGGTAGGTTATCGTAATCATCATTCAAGGGGGGGGTTCACTATGGGAGTTGTCACCTACAACGTTTCTTGTCGTGTGGAAAATTTTCTCCTATGTGTTAAAATTTGCTGAACCGTTTGGTTCCATTAAGCTATACCATATGGTATATTGATATAATTATCACACGATACCATTGTAACCAAACGTTACCCTATCCGATGGTCCCTATAGTTGAATATATTCATTTTTTGGCTGCGTGGTTACAGATATGTGCATGTAACTCTAAAACCAAACGTGTATAGTAAAAGTAATATTATAGCAGTGGTTATACCCACATCATATTAATAAATGCTTTTATTGCTTTAGAAATTTGAATCATGTTTGCTTTCAAAGTATGAAAACAATAATTTCATAAGTTTATTAATAACTCGCTTTAGCTTTACTATACATTTAATTTTTACAGAATATACTCAGTACAAAAGCTTGGAAATACTGGTACTATTCGAAATATTCTTTCAACAGCCTTAAAATGTCTTATATGAAACATAAATTGACTATGCATACAGGCATTAGAAATGTTAACATGTATTTTAATTTTATTGTGCACAAATTGTTAAATAGTACTGTTGACAACCTTATACCTACAACCACCTGCCTTGCAAAATAAATAGTTCAAATGAAAAACAATACAAGTCTGTACAAAGTATGTAATCTTGTATTTTTCTGTACTTCATCCCTGAAACTCAGACCAATTAATGAAATATTTTCCAAAAATGTATTTTTATAAGCTACAATATTTACTTTTAATCACTGCAAAATGTATGTTTGTTTTCAACAAGAACTAAAGCGTAATAGACCTATTTCACCATTGGAGCCTGTAATTATTGAGTCTTAGTCCAACAAGGATACAGAGTTCAGTACACATTGGGCAAGATTAATGTCGGAGTTACTAAAAAAGAAAAAAAAGAATGCTCCAGGGACAATTAACTGCTATTGTCATTGAACAAATAAATGATTAATTTGTTGATACTTATGGTTTTTATTTTATACTCAACTTAAAGTTCAATGAGAAAGAAATGTTTTTTATTTGATTATTTAATTTTTTTGATGTTATGTTAATAAGTAAACATTGTTTTTTTATTAATCTAATAAAATATTTTTATTTGTAATTGATAGTTATAAATAGTTATTAGTTTCACAAAATTGAATTATACATGGTCGTACTGAAACAGAAGACTACCTTCTGTGGCAAAGTAATCGGTTAGATTTGACCTTATCCTTCTTGAATTTCAGTCGTAAAAATTTGTTCCCATTTGACCCACTGGAACTAAACCGACTGAATTTTGATTTGTAATGTTTTCAATTCTGCCAAGACATGTAGGGGTGTAAATATGCGTACAAAACTATAAAATAAAAATGATTTTAATAATAAAAAGAAATGAAGTGCATGTAAAGGGTAACCATGTATACAATTTTTGTAAATATTAGATATTGATAGACAAAAGTACCTATTGTATTAACTGACTCAGTTTGTTTTTTTAAAATTAAATTATGAGGCACTGTTGAGTGTTGTTTTGATGATACTCATCACAGCTCAGAAGCAATAATCACTCCTCGGTATATACGTCACGAGCATCTTCTTGCTCGTCTCAATCTTGATAGTATCAAAAAAATGGTTTAAATTATTAGTTTTTTTTGTCAATACACATTTTGTATTCAGTCAACCTCTATAAATTACCTATTATTATTTAATTTTTACACAATAAATTACCTATAGTTGAAAATGGTAGATTTCAAAGATAAGTTTTTATTTCTTCATCCGGGATATGGTCTCATTCAATTTGTTAAGAGTGGAAAAGCTTCATCTACCACAATGAAATAAGGGTAGTCTTTAAAATATCCACTTATAGGTGAAGTGTTAGGGAAATTAAAATTATTCTGTAGTACCCTTCTATCCATTTCAGACACCCTGAAAACTCCCCCATCACTACACATGCCCAACACTCCAATATCAACACATGTAAAATTATAATTGGCATCAGATAGTACCAAAAGAATGGTACCATGTGAGCCTTTACAATTGTAGTTGATAGAACCAATATTTGGAAATGCCAGGAAAAATTTAACAATAATGATATCATTTACTGAACATAATACATTTAATTTTAATTAAACATTACATTCTAAGTGAATCATAAGATCTATTGGCCTTTTTATACTCTAATTTTTTTGAAATAAAAATATACATACTTGATGTACAATATATTTTCCATCTAATGCTCCTACAAAATATCATATTTTTTAATAAATATTATATAAAAACTAACCTTAATATAGGTGCTAAAATTTCTCTAATTGATAGAATATCAGGTCTTGAATGTATTCTCTAAAGAAATGGGTCCATTAAAATAACCAGTTCTTCAAAAGTAGTTGGTGGTATTCTAGTTAAGTTAAAAAATTGGACTAAATTTGATAGCTTATGTCCATTAATCATAGTGTTAAAATAACTATGTTCAATACGTTCTCATTGCAAAGACCTGACACACCATCTACAAAAAAAATGATGATAAGTATATTGTATGCAGAATATTAAAATGCTTATACTAAAGATAATAATCCTTATATATGGTTTTAAAAAAATATGTAATATTAGATACATAATTTATTACGGTTCGTTTTTACAAATCATTTATATTTATTGATTAATAGTGGTGTTACAAACATTTTTAAATTGCAAGTTTATAATATTTTACTGTTTTAATTTTACAGAGTGGAAAATCCTAGTTAATATCATAATTAATTACTTTTTCTCTATTTTATATAAATTTTCTTCGACAAGATTCATTACTAATGAAGTAAAGCAAATTTCCCTTTTGTGTATTCTTCATTATAGTCATGAACATTATAGTTGCACAATTTTCTCTTAAATGTTACTAATGTAATAACTACGGTCCATGACTAAAACTTGACGTGAAGTGAATAGCGAAAACTAAATACCTAATGAATATGGATGATGGATGTGATCATTAATCATTATTTCGAATTTATTAAAATTTAAAATGTTATCACCAGAATTGGTAATAAGTAATAACTATGAACTAAGAGGATATCTTCTTAGTTCATGGTAATAACTAATAATTTTTGTATCTTTGATATTGCATTTTGGTATAATCTAAAAAAAAACGCAAGATTTCGCGAGATCATAAAAACTCTTAAAAAATGTTAGGTACAATACCTACAAAACAACACGATACGGTGTAAACACGGATACGTAATACTGGGTCTATGGTAGTAACGAACATGCTTCATATGATAACGCGACTGCCATATATTATTATTAAGATAGCAGATAAGCGCTTTAATTCCTTTTAATTCGGTTAATAAGTTATGAATATTTTAGTATTTTACATTATAATTTCTAGTACCTATAATATTTTATATACTAGAATCATGTGCATATTATTGTGATTTACAAAATACTGTGACCAGAGTGTAACAGTGTGAACAGGTGAAATACTGGAATACAATTATAGGCTTTTCTTATCATTAAAAATGACCGCTTATCATCGACTACAGCAGCTGCAATGCTGCTACGATTACCAAGTATTAACATTGTTATATCTTCTATGGTAATAATAATAATAAAGAGGAATATTATCGATGTGTCTTTCGTAAATTTAATATCTTACTAATAACTAATTAGTGATTTGTTGTCGCAAAAATTTCAATTATTCGAAACTGGGACACATCAGCGAAACAGCACGTACGGTCGTCTCGAGACATCGCGTATTTTTGTGCGTCACTGTGATTTTGCTGAAGTTCGCTGCTTTTCCTTCGCGTGCGCACTCGCGCTCCGCCATGTTCTGACACCGAAGAAAAGTTCAATTTTCCTCCAAAAATCTCAAGCATTCCAATACCGGGACCGATCATGTTTCCGATCCGGCCACCGACGGTATTCGTCGTGTTTGCGCTGTTGGCTGTTCGCGCTGTTCAAGTGGCAGCCAGGATACACACTTTGCCGATACACGTAAGTTACCTATCTACCTACTTTATTTTAACAGTAGAGTTTATTCGTCGATGATACAAATAATTGTAATAACCGTTGGCATTGTTGTTGTTGCTGTTTCCATCATTGTATGCGGGTAGGACGACGATCGGCGGTTCATAGCACTGACCACTTTTGGATTTTTTCGTGGTGGACTGTTGGAAGTGGAAATAGTAGACTTTTACCTGCCTCCTGACAGCCTAAATGAAACCGTGAGTTAAAATCACACTCAATAATTAAAAAATTATGAGGTGGACATATCATACCAGCTGGCGCTGTGTATATACTCATCTTCGTGTCGTGTAATATTCTTTTGTAATATCATAATGTCGTGTTTTTCTTGTTTCAGCATGGCTTGCTGCTTGAAAAGTCCCTATTTGACGAAGGGAATCCTTATATTGATTCTCAACAAGAAATCTGCCCAATTGAATCTCCTAATTTACTTGATATAAGAAAGAATTCTAACCTGGCAGTTTTCAGGTTTAATTTTCCAAAAAAACTGTAAGTTTTCCTTATAAAAATTGTAGCTTATAACTTATAAGCAATGTCATAGACAACCATATATTTAGAAGTTATACATTTTTAATTAAATGTAGTACCTACAAATATTGAGTTGAATTTATATTTAATTGGTAATGACAAAATATTTGTGTCTAGCGTTACCATTAATTGTTCAGATTCCATGGAGCCATTTTATTTATTCGAAAACATGGATGACTTCAGAAACAACCAGAATGATATTGAAGATGGTATGTACTTTGAATAATAATAGTAGGCGAATCTCTTCTGTCTTGGTTTGGATCATTCATTGCAAACAGAAAGCAAGTTGTAAGAATTCATGGTGTGGTATTTCCTCCTTCAAATGTGATATCTGGTATATCTCAAGGTTGTCATTTATCTCCTTAACTATTCTCTCTATTTATTAATATTGCGGATATATAGCCTATGTGTAATTCTCAACTTTTAATGTTTGCTGATGATATGAAAATATTCCTTCATATTAACTCAATAAATGCTGAAAAAAATAAAAAAATAGCCTATTAACTTAATATATGTTTGGACCTTTTCAGATACTAAAACAAGTCACTTAAACAAAACTTTACCAATTACAAATGGTACTCAACCAGACAGTTATAACATAAAAGTAAGAACATAGCAGTTAAGCATTTAAAATGATATTTTATTTTATTTTTTTTTTAAGTTTGTTGTTTATGTGAAAACGAGATCAAATGAAGGATTATATAATTTATATTACCACAACTGTCCGAATTATGCCACATTGCCAAAATCTAAACAAAGTTTTACGGTACCTAAATTAGATAATTATTTTTGAAAAAATCATTAATGTACAAAATGAAAATTGATCATGATTTTTCACAGGTCACTATAAGTGAGATAAATGCTGATGGAAATTATTTATCAGCTGGTGACATACCATTGCCATCTTTGTATTTTTCTATGTCTATTGTATATTTTATCACCGGTGTATTGTGGGTTTATTTCTTATACAGAAGCACGTAAGTCAAATTAATTTCTTATCAACTGCAACAATACATGTAATATAAAATATTCTATTGCAGTTATCCTGTTTACAAAATACACTACCTGATGGCTTTATTAGTGTTTCTAAAAGCAGCAACTTTATTTTTCCATGGTTTGAATTTCCATTTCATTCAAGTCAAAGGGCAGCACATTGCAACATGGGCTTTTGTCTACTATGCAATTCACTTGTAATTATTTTTGCACATACAATTGAGGTTTTTTTCTTTTGTTTTATCATTCATGTTTTCTGTTTTAGATTGAAAGGATCAGTTTTATTCATAACAATTGTTCTAATTGGTACTGGAATGACGTTCGTCAAACATGTTTTGTCGGATAAGGACAAAAACATCTTTATGATTGTTATACCATTACAGGTTTGAAGATTAATGGCTATCGACATTAATGCATATATTTTAAACATATTAATGTTCACAGGTATTAGCTAACGTAGCCTATGCTATTATTCAAGAATCCGAAGAAGGAGATATGCAGCACAATGCTTGGTTGGATTTGTTTTTACTTGTCGATTTCATGTGCTGCGCTGCAATTTTGTTTCCCATTCTTTGGTAATTATGTTGCCATCAATAAACTAATGTAACAAACTTATCACATTAAAATTTGTTTTACTTGAAAGGTCTATACGACATCTACAAGAAGCATCACAGACGGATGGTAAAGCAGCAATAAATTTACGCAAACTAAAGTTATTTCAACAATTTTATGTTATGTTAGTTTCTTACATTTATTTCACACGCATATTGATTTATATGCTTAGAGTGAGTATCATGTTATTTGTTTGTACCTTATGAGTCATGGGTCTTACTTGTGAAGTATGGAAAACAACAGTTTATTATAACATTTCAATATTTTATAGATGACAGTTCCATTTCATTTGTTATGGCTTAATGAATTCTCAAGAGAAACTGCAACGTTTATTTTCTTTGTAATGACTGGATATAAATTCCGACCGACAATTGCAAATCCTTATTTCCAAGTAGCATCAGATGTGGACGATGATGACGTAGACATTGTGTAAGTATAAATACAATTAACTTTCTATTTCCCATACAACCATAGTAAACATTTTTAAATATTGATTTTTGTTTCCTTATTGTTACAGAATTAGTCATTTTGGATCTGGCGTTAGTAACCGTGCTAGAAAGAAAGCAAACAATGGTGGGGAAACTGCTGAGGATGAAATCATGTTGGTGGAGTCATCGTCGTGATATAATAGATATTGTATTTCTATGATACCAAGACTGATCCAATTGATTCGTGAACCTTTGCCGTGTCTTCTAGTCTTTCTTTTTTTTAAGAGTAGACAAAATTGTTGCATTTGTACAAATTTGTACTAAACTATCGCACAACGTTTTACTGTTTGTTTATTTATGTAATAAATATAAGTCAATCACTTTGTTACAATATTGTCAATAGTATGAGGTTTGATTGAATTTTTTTTGTAATTTATTAGATTTAAGTCTATGTTCCTTAGGCGTTGTTGCTATGTATTATATTTTTTATTATGAATACTAACAAATTGTGAATTATCAACAATTAATGCAATAGTGAAAAAAAATATAGGAACATTATTTTATTGTATGAAATAGAACTTATGTTATATTATTAATTAATATGGTGCTTAATCGAATTTAAATAATACAATAAAATATCTGGTTGTTAATAAGACGAATACACAAACATTAAATTTTGCAAGTACTTATACATTATATAAAACCTTTCTATTTGATGTATTTCTGTGAAAATTTAAAATAGGTTTAGTTAGATACATATTCAACTCTTCTATGGTATTATAAACCGAGAAAAAAAAATTAGAATTGAAACAATAATTCTCCCTGATCTCCTAATGACTTATTTTAATAAAGATTTTCGTACCTAATGATGCGAAAACAGAACTATACCGGATTACCGAATTTAAAAACATTTTGTAGGTATATTGTTTTAGATGAAGATACAAATATAATATTAATATTTCAATATCGACACTTAGTCAATCTGAATCATACATAAAAAGCAATAATATTTTATAATATAATGACAATGATTCAGTGGTTATGTTACCTATAAGCACAATGTACATAACATTTTATCTACATTGTGCCTAAAGGTATAGTTATTAATTAGAGTTCCATTTTTGTATTAAGAATTTATAGGGGAGAAGAGCCAAAACTTGCACAACTTTGCCAATTATATCTGATATTTAACTGTAAATTAAGAATATTTTTGTGTCATTAGACATGAGAGACAAGATCTTTAGGTGATAATTTTTGTATACTTCTATATATATATATATATGTACGATGTACTGTACAATAAGTGTTGTCTTTGTCTTAAATATATAAAATAGTTCAATGGCCTAAAATGAGAGACTTTCTAAAGACTTTAGTGTCGATTAAAAATTGTATTATTGCCTATATTTGTTATAAGAGTTTATTGTTTTACTTTTATTGGTAATTGAAAAAAATTGTATCCTACCGCATTTTTAATAATTGCTAGGTACCTACTGAACTTATTGCCATCGCCCGTTACATTATTAAGTTTTTAATCTGATTTTAATAATAAACAGGTACAAGAAGTTGTTTATCATTGGATAATTTTATTGTTGTCAATTGTGAATGTTTTAATTTATAATAAAACACGATTAGCACTAAATCGGCACTATTTTGTATCTTTTGAATATTGTATTCCACTGTTATAATTTTGTTGAGTAGAAGAAAAAGAACTTATAACTTATTTTTTTAACCATATGATAAAGTAATTTCAACCATTCATTATGGTCTATTAAACTGTTTGTTTTGTAGTTATTCCAACTATTACTTTATAGTTATTCTATTTCTAATTAGGTACATTGATTCAACTAATTCATTTTAGTACTCCCAACCAAACATTTATTGTGTCACTAATCACTATATTAACCTGAGATTATGGTTGGCCTTACTGTTAAACATTCGTATCAACTACTATTTTTTTTTCAGTGTTTATTCTATTCCTCAAAGTTTAAAGAAAAAACCACTTGATTATTTCACATCAAAGTTAAAAGCAATGAATCAACAAAAACATATTTTTACAAAGCAAGCTACAATTCTTTCTGAAGCACTACTTTCTTCCTATAAAGTAGGTAGCTTGGCAAATAGCAAAGAGTAAAAACCTTCATACTATCACAGAAAATTTAATTTTACCAGCTGCTATGGACATGGTGTCCATTATCATGGTTGGGGATGCTGCTGCTAAGCAACTTAAAAATGTGCCGTTATCGGATAACATCAAAATCCAAATTTGCATCATCATATTTACCAGAATTTTGGATAGCTATGAAGAAGCAGTATCCGATAAGGCTATCAGGACTTTGATTCCATTTGCTTCTAAGTACTTAGGTGAAACAGGTTTTCGGCCTTAGAAATTATTAAAACCAAATACATTATAGAGTAAGACTTAATAGGTACCGAAAAGGAATTACGAATCTCGCTTTCAAAATTTAAGGTACGATTTGATAATATTATGCAACAAAAACAAGCACAGCCATTCCATTAAATATTAAAATTATTAATATTGTATTCATTTTTATTTGTAAAAAAATGTACAGGAGCCGTATATTTATTTCAAAATCAAAAGGCACCGTGGACCCAAAAAGGTTGACAACCGCTGCCTTAAACGATTCTTAAAAATGGAACTGTTTATGTCTGGAATTCTGGATGTTTTGGGTGATAAACAACACCCCCCAAATTAAAGTGTTATATAAATTAAATTATAAGTTACAAATTATGAAAATTTGCTGATTTAAAAATAGCTACAGGAAGTACAACTACAATAATTATTGTTGCAAAGAGATTGCGATTGAAAAACCGATTCCATTTTTAGGCACAAGAAGTACTCCTCCTACAAAAATATGAAAAATCATTGATAGACTGATTCATTCGGTTTTCACCGAAATCTGCAAATACATCACAATCAGACACCAGTTACCAGGTTGTGCATTTTGTTACTGTATATGTTAGTACAGACATGCTGGGACATTTTCAACAATTTTTATGCGAGATTGTTCAGAACTATAATAATAAAGTAAGACACATCACACCGTAAATATTATATCATTGCAAGATTTATTTTTTAATATTTCATATTTACAAAAGTTTAACATCGATTTTTTTTTGTACAAAAACATGGTAAACAAATTACAAAAAACTATACCTAACTTTGAAATATTAGCTATTTTTTTTTTTATTATTATTATATTTAACTGCATAATATACCTATCCATTCGTAAAAGTAAAGTAAAAAAAAATTATACAATAAGTACATATCAGAAATCGATAAAAAAAAAAAGTTATATAAAAATAAGAAAAGTTATTGAAAACAGTCTTTGCATTTAAGTAAAATGGCAGGAATAAATATTTTTTATTTATTAATGATAACACGAAATTACATCATAATTATATAATATTATGTATAAAATATTTACAGTACAAAATACACATCGTTCTATATACTTCTATAATAGCTGAAAACCGTCGACGCAAATCGCACCACGCGAGGTACATAGGAAAGGTTGTGTACCCACCTGTGGCTTACGAAAGTCCGACGGTTCAGTAAATATACTATACAGTCGTTCCGATATTTTTTTTTACACGATTTATATAAAGTTATTTACAGAAATATATATATATGCTTAGGTAGTTATATAATATGATTCGTCACAATACATAAATAGTTAGTACGTATTATTAGATGTTTGTGTATAAAAATAATAATTTATACACAATACAAAGCCATAATATGGGTAGGTAGGTATACGATAATAATAATGATATTATTATGATAAGAGACGCGTGTGGAAAAAAAAGTGAGCAACCTACAATATATTTTTTATTATTGACGATTGGAGGGTTATAATAAAATTTGATTTTTTGTCTCAAGTATGGCAACGCTTTTACATAGGTACTTCGTTCGACTTCCTACACATATTATAATAGTATAGGTAATATATTATTGTATATACTTGAATCGGCTCGATTTTTAATGAGTTTATAATGTTCGCTAAATATTATAAGCTTTTGATACCATCTTCTCATCCGATATATATATATATATATATATTTATTATATAAACAATTCATAATTATCACAATTTCGTTATCAAAAAAAAAAACATTACCTTTGATTATATCGCCGTTTCGAGAATATAACATAACACACATTTATATACACGTAAATTATAATTAGCCTAATAACTATGTATAAATTAATCTATTTTATTACATGGTAAATCGAGGCGCATAACGCAACGGCCGCCGAAAGGGTGCACATACCGCGACGACCACGACGCGATTTCGACGACTATAATAATACGTATTATAGGTAATTGTATTAATATAATACTATAAAAAGTCGCGGGTAAATTGGTATAATTGGACTAATTAATTACAAAATTGTATGATATTAATTATTGTATTTGTGTTTAGCTCGTCGCGTCGCGTCGCGCACGCGCACAAACAGCACCCTTTGGACGGCCGTGGCCGTTTGGACGGCGAATGTCGATCGCTTGGCCACCACCGCCGTATACGTCATCGTTATATCATTATCACAGCCTGAGTTCGGCCTCCGCCGACGTCTGATGATGCCTCTGCCGGGCCGACGTGGAGGCGGCCGAGTGGAGCGGCGATATGGACGGCGACCTGTTGGCCAGCGGCGACAGCGACGGCGAGAAGGACGGTGACATGGCCACCGACTGACTGAAGCCAGGGTTCGTCTCGTGGCTGATCGGCGACCGGGGCACGAGCAGCATGGGCGGCGGCACAGCCTGATGGTGATGGTTGTGGTGGTGGTGGTGGTGCTGCTGCGAGGCGCCCGACTGTCGGGACGAGGACAGCGCCCTGGGCGCCATGTTGGTCAACAGTGGCGGGGGCGGGGGCGGCGCACTCTTTTGGTGCATGTGCTGCTGCTGTTGGTTAGGAACGTTGGATTTCTTGCTGACGCCGCCGCTACCTCCGCTCGTGGACGCAGCGCCGCTGTTGGAGCTCTTCACCGAGTTGGCGTCGTCCTTGAGTCGGGCGATCTCGTTGAAAACGTGCGCCAGCGGTTGGTATTGCGGACCCCAGTCCAACAGGTAGTCCCAGTTGTAGCTGCCGGTCAGCTCCTCTTCGCTGTGCACGATCGAGCTGAGCGACCCGACCATGGACGGCTGCGGCGGCGGGACCTTCGAGCCCGAGTAGACAGTGCTGTTCGACGACTTGCCGCCGCCACCACTGCCGCCGCTACCGCCACCATCTTCTTCCCCCGCCACGCCGGTGCCGGGGCCGCCGCCGCCTCGTTCACTGCCTACGTCACTGAGTTTGGCGTAAATCATGTTGGTTATGTCGCCGTCGGTCGCCTCGTCCTCGTCATACATGTCGATGTTCTCCATCGGCCTGCGGTGACGCCTAGACGATGACAGCCGTCGGTTTTCCTCGGGCAGGTGCGGTGGTCCTTGTTGCACAACCGTCTGCGCGTCCACGATGCCCAGGCGTGCCAGGTATTCTTGTGTGTTGCGTGCGGCCGTCACCTCGGATAGCTCATCCACGTTTTGCCGCTCGTTGATCATCCGGATCTCCTCATCCTCCACGTCGTCCTCGGCCGACCCCCGGCCGCTGGAACCCGACTTCTCAGATCCCGACAGGTCAGACGTGGTGGCCGCTCCGGAATTGGTGGTGCTGCTGTTGTTCCGGTACGTTGGTATCTCGTCGTATTTGGGTGGTGCGAACTGGCCGACCACTTGCTGGCCACCCACGCCACGTATGGGTATCGTGTCGAACGCGCCGGGGTCTACGTATGTGTTGTCGGTCCGCTGGTGTCCGCTCAACTCGGGTTTGTTGATGTTTCTGTGCTGCTTGTTCTTGAGGTGAAAGTAGAACATGATGCCTCCGAGCAGCAGGACGACCAGCAAGACCACCGACAGGATGCCGATGATCCAGTCCACCAGGCTTCCGCCGGAAGCGCCGCCTGCGTTTTGACCGCTGCCGCCGCTACCGACACCGCTGCCGGATGAACTGCTGCTGGCCAGGTTAAGGCCTGGCTGGGAAAGTGGGTCGAACGAAATCTCGACTACGCTCACGTTGGTCAGTGACCCTTGTTTTCCCGAGCTGGCCGTCACCACGAGGCTTATGTCCTGCGCCGCGTCAAAGTTGGCGTCGATCTTCTTCTTCACGATTATCGCCCCTGTCGTTCGGTTCACCTTGAAGTACGCGTTCTGCGTGGTTAGGTGGTACACGACCCGTCCTTCAGG